CTAAATGAAGTTTTGAGTTCCTGCAGTGCTAGAAATTTGGCAAAGTGAAGGAAAATTTCATTTGGGGGGTCAGAATCCTTATTTGGGGCAGGACAGTGCCCTCATTTTGGCTCCTCTCTTGTATTTGTGTGAGCAGCTGATGAATTAAGCCCTATATGAGTTATAGATCCATGCGAGTGAGAAACTCCTTCCAGAGAAAGACAGAGCTGGTGTTGGGATGGGTCCCTATCATCTCAATCTGTACATGCTCTGGAGGTTCCAGTATTAGACATTGTACAGTCGTCCCTCCATATCCACGGATTTTTTTATCCACGAATCACGCATCCATGGATTGAAAATATTTTGAAAATATATAAATTCCAAAAAGCAAACCTTGATTCTGCCATTTTATATATGGGACACTATTTTACCATACCATTGTGTTCAAAGGGATGTAAGCATCCACAGATTTTTGTATCCACAGGGGCGATTCTGGAATCAAATCCCAGCAGATACCGAAGGTCCACTGTACTCCTTCCTTCCTTCCTTCCTTCCCTCCTTCCCTCCTTCCCTCTCGTTTCAGTTTGTGGCTTTGTTTTTTTGCTTGCCACTAGATTTTCTCCAGCCAAAGCATTTTGGCTGTGAAGGGTCCCAACGTTCATCTTGGGAGCCCTCAATGCTAATCCCTGTAGTGTGGGAACCCATCCTAAGTGATTCAACGTATAAAAACAGCAGCCTCTATACATGTCCTTTTTTTCACCTGCTTGGCATGTTCTGGGGGCTGGCTGACCCTAGTGCCGAAAATAGTTTTCAGTCTGAGTCCAGAAGGAGCTCTGGTTCAGACTGAGCTTTGTTTTCGACGCCTGTATCTCTTTTTCCCTATCGGGGTGGCTGTGCCAAAAAAGCAGCCTTTTTTCTATTTTGATTTTGATTTTCCTCTCTGTTCCACTGGCTTGCAAAGAGGGAACTTTAATTCTCCCTGCAGCTCTACTTTGGCTCGATTGAGGAATGGCTGGAGAAGGCGGAGGGAAGTGAATGCAGGAGACCCCCTATTCTTGCCTTCCTTTCAGCCTCGCTTCATGAGCCCTCTTTTCCTCTCTTTGGCATTTCTGTCTTTGCTAATTGTCTCATACCCTCCCCAAACCCTCAAAGCCCGGCTTGTCCCCAACCCACAGCCTCTTTTGTTCCCTTTTCTATGGAGGTTGGTTCCCGATGCCTCGGGTGAGGAGGGGGTTTGCTGTGAGCGTGGGAACAGACTCGCACCATAGCAAGGGTTGCCAAATATCCATTGGGCAGTGGGCAGGCATGTGTGTCTGTGTGCAACCATCTATGGCCCTTGTTGC